GAACGGCCATGCAATGGGTTAAAACGTCAGTACTTCAAGAACAATTAAAAATACAAGAAGTAAACCATTTCATAAACGAAAATAATTTCAAATTTTATGAATCAGTGAAATCCAATATTCAACCAACTTAAACCTTTTCGACCATCTCAACCTTGGTAAAAATTGTCAAAGTTAGTTTATCTTTAATTTTAGTGTAACTATAACACAAAAAAAGAAGGGTGAGCCCCATCACCTTATTAGAAATTAGAAATAGACAAGAAATTATTATGTGAATATAAATCTGCTTGAAATACAAAATAGGCAGTAGAAGAATCCTTACGACTAGTGTTGCCCAAATGCAAGACCGAGACGAGTATTGGTCTTGCAAACTCAGTCTTGGTCATGGTCTTGGTCTTGCGCAAGAGTCTCGCAACAGTCTTGCAGTTACTTATTAGCTTATTACTATAGAGATGTTACTGTATTTTTTTAGCTAGGGGAACCTTAACTAAGCCCAAATGAAAAATTAGAGGAGTTAAATGCAGAAGTATATTGGTTATACCAAGTATTAACATATAGTAACTAAGATTGTCAAGTATTAGTAACTATTGTGTCTTAAATTTTATTTAAAAAATCATTTTTTTTTATTAGTCCTGGTCTTGGTCTTGCAACAGTTAGGCGGCCTTGGTCTTGGTCTTGCAAAGTGCAAAAAGTAAATAAGGGGCTATGAAAAAAAAATTAATTATTAGTAGATTCGGTTGTGTTCTTTGACTAAGTGTGCAAGTGGGTGCACTGCTATAAGCGAATGCAAATTTAAATTACATGTAAAATTAGATTATCCCTGAAGATACCTGAAGAGGCGAAAATTTGGCTAAATTTGAAATAAAGCAATTATTTATCGAGACTGAAAAGGTCCTTTTCTACTAATACTTATTATAGTCTCTTTACTAAGATCATCTCTTATGAAAAAAAATTAATATGAATAAAATATAAAATTCTAAACTAGAAAATGAATTCAAGCCGAAAACTATGATTTCTCTACACTTAATGTACTAGCTAATAATTTACCACATGTTTAAATTATCTAAAACTGTATGTAATTATTATTGCAAGTCGCGTAATTCGCAGTCAGAAGAGTTCATACAACCGTTATACCCATTACCGAAACGGGCGCGAACGATCCCTCCCGACTGGTAAAATGTACAATATAATGCGTCCGTAGGTGGAGCACGTACCCCGACCGCAGGGCGTGCAACTAACCATCTCAGTTAAACTATAACTACAAAGTAAACTAACTCCAAATCTAACAGACCACATCCTAGTTGGGCGATCAAATAGAGCTGGTAATCTCTCCCGGGATTTCTTGCGCAGGAATAATCCCCCTATCATCACCCGTGCAAATCAGTAGTGTCAGACCATGATGAGTATCATTAGCAAATAATGAGGCGGTGAGGGAAATAACGTGTATAACACATTATATCCCAGTTGTAAATTCAATTTCAAAATAAAATACATCGGGAAAAAGAAGAAAAAAATACTGCAGTTACAAAATAAAATAAATAAAAGGCCAAGCGAAACAGGAGGTCGATGCGGGCAACATCACCGGCCATTTCTAACAAACCTTACTAGCTCAATTCCAAATTCAAATATTCAAGATCGAAACAATCTCATCTACGTTTCGTTCCACCACGAGCTTAGCGCTGATTGAATCCTTTAAAATTCGATTGTTTTCAGCTACTTTAAATAATTTTAGTCGTCACGATTTTATCGCCTGCATTATATTTACCGGAAGCAGATCACGTATTTTGGTCTTGTGCAGCCAAAATAAATATGAAGCATTTTATATATTTTGTCATTTCTTTATGCGTTGTTCTCTTTTTAACCAAAATTTGAAAACAGTAGGGAGTATAATACTCGTTTTATTGTACTTTTTTTTTTTTTTTTTTTCTAGACAGTGGCCATGTACTGAGGAATTTTGTGACTGAAAGACGTAGATGAAACTCTTTGTCTTTCATAAAATATTGATCGGAAAGAACAAGAAAATTACTATAACATATGGTTTTTCAATGGTCCATGAAAAAATAAGAATAAACTGTTATTGTAGGAACAATAATGATTTGAGGGATATATTTTTAGCAGTTGCATATGTGTTTAATGTCATTTAAAAGATAAATGGTTTAAGTATTTATCTGGTATCACTCACGGAAACAAATATGAACCAATGAAAAAAAAATTATTTTTCTATATTGGAGGTAATCATCGCGAAAGGTGTCTATTTCTGTCGTATCTACCTTATCAAAATCACTGTTATTTCTGGTACACCTTATTTCTTTTCACATATTTCGAGACCTAGTTCTTTAAAGTTTTTTTTATGTACGGTTATCAGAGGACTACCCTCTGGAACGGAAAATCCCCCATATAGCCTTGAACGAAGAACAAAAAAAAATTTAAAAAGTCATATTGCTTTAAATCTTATAGTTTATGAGATTAAAACGGTTTGTTGTAGTAATTACCGTTTTTATTTTAAACAGATCTTTGAGGAATTCTTATATATAGTTTTTAGTGAACATTATATAGTTCAAAGAATATTAAAAGGATGTCACAGAATAGACTGTACTACAATAAAAACTACATTGTTCATAAGATAAATAAATAATAAAAATCTACAGATTGGTAAAATAAAAGAAAACAGAGTTCTTGTAACATAAATATAAGAGCTATGTGAATAAGAGTTTAAAAGATTTGTGATAATTATATTTGATTTATCATACCACCACCACTATGACTTAAGTTTTACATGTCACTTTCACCGTCACTATGCTTGTATTTTTTGTCGGGTAAAAATACCTTTTTTTACAGCTTTATGTATACAACGTGAGCAGCACTGGGGCTACCTGACTATGTCTCCAAACTGAAGAGATTTTATGCCATATCGATTAGTGATGCTACAGTTTCATTAATAAAATATAAAAAAAGACCATCCCAAAATTAAATCTTGAATCCATTAGTGGCATGTAGCAATTGCCAGGAAGCGGCAAATGTTTCGACACCTCATTTTTTTATATTTAATATTAATATTTCTTCTAATTTTAAATAATATTTTCCATTAAGTATTCTAACCATATTCTCGACCTTAATTTATTCTAGGGTACAGAGGAAACAATTGTATATTGAGAATTGAGACCCAGGATTCATCCATTCCCTGAACAAATAGCCCAAAGCACTCAAGCTCATTATCGTGGCTAGAATTATCTTTACTGTTTAGGCACTAAGTAGACCTAATTGGGTTTAAAACTTTTCTAATTAGTCGGCCTGAAAAGGGAAAAAATGACCATTTACACAATTACTCCTATGGACGAGTTCATTGCGGCTCTGATAAAACGCTATCCAAGCCAAGATATCCCTAGCGTCACAATCTCCCGTGAAAACTGGAGATAAGACCTCGGGAAACTCGTTAGCGTTCGAGGAAGGAGGATAGAAAACTTCCCTTCCTCTACCTCCTCTCTTTCACGCAGCCTTATAACTCAATGCTGCTATTCGGCGGTAATTCAGGATAATAGTCGATAATGGACGACCGTAAATGCAATCAGTTATCGGGAGAGGCAATAATACTTAGAAATATTATCGGCTGCCAAGGGCGCCCGAGTGTGGTTATTTATTTTTTGGCGTATTTTTCATGGCTATTCACTTGTGGTATTACTTTTATCAGTTTTCTTTGTTTTTCTTGGTCACAACAGCAGCGTATAAACTATATAAAATGTTTATATGATGTCGTTCATCCGGTAAAATAATGGCAAATCATGCCATTTTAAAGGATAAGCGAAATAATTAGAATTATTTAAACTCAAAATTCTGTGGCTATAGCGTCCTTCCTCGACTCCCACTTCCAGGGAGAAGCGCTGTGATCTTCTGGAGGTTCGCTTTTCTCTCAACAAGTGGTGGACAAGACAGGTTCGGTGTTCTCCTTGCTGATTATAAATAAAGCACACCTTTGCCTAAAAGTGTCACTGTATAAAGTCCATTTTTTTCCTTTATGATATTGTATTTTTTAAATATTTCCATGAGAAGGAATCCATTAGTCCTAACACTAAATTCCAACACAAACCCGTACATCCCACACCGAGATCTCCTTACTTCATTCTTACCCGGAAATGTACAGATTTGCACATTGCAAAAAACACAATAATTGAAATATTAGAGAAAAGTACACAAATAATATATTTTTTGCCAATGCAAATTTCTTATGTACATTCAAATTTTACTTGTATTATATTATGACGGCGGTTCATTCAAACACGTCTTTCTGACGATTTAATGTAATAAAACATTTTTCAAAACATTACAGTTTCGTCATTGTTCTATCAGATGAGGGATAAATTTATTTAGACCTAATACGAGAATTGATTAATTTTTGAAATTATGTAATTTAACATTTCAGACTATTTTTCTTTTGTACACAAACTGGTAAGAACAGATAAAAACAACCTACTACAACTACACTTTCACTAAAAATAAATTATAGTTATTTTTAATAAAACTTCTTAATAAACTTTTATAATTTTACTTCAGTTTTTTTTTCCTTTTTAAAATAGCACAATTGAAATTATATATATATATATATATATATATATATATATATATATATAAAAGCATTATATTACATTTCTGAAGTAATTTTTAATTTTTAGCCCTGATGAAGACCTCTCTTGCTTAAGACGAAACATAGATAAGCTGAATAAAACAAATCCTGACTATTCACATAGGCTTATTATAAAATAAAAAAAAGTAAACAGTAAATAAAATATCCATTTCTAAAATAGGAAATACTGTTTATTTTTTTCATCCGCGTTACAATAATTATTCTTGATATATAGCGACAGATGATTGTTACATTTTTCATAATTTATGAATGTTTATGAGGTTATATGGTTATATGTTACCACCAGAATTTTTATGGATATGCTTATGGTTTTTTTATGAGAGTATTACGATTTTTATTCATTTTAAAACGGAGCATCAATCATATGCACATGGAAATGCACCCAAAGGTGCGCTCTGTTAACAACTCGCGACGCGGTTGCAGAAGATTACATCCATCTGCAGAGGCGTCGCTGATGATATCTCCAATTTGCGGCCAACGATGGTTGCATGCTAATCTCTACCTTCCATACGAACCTACTTGTCAGTTTAAATCATCGCAATGAGTAATGTAATTATTCCATATTTTCTGGCATTGAAAGTTCAAGACTACTAGACGTGCTTTTTCTTTTTTTAACTTTTTACATACGTGTTTAGAGTAGAATCTACTGTGGTTTTGTTTTAAATATTTTTCCATTATTTTTTTTTTTATTTTTCGGATTTATATTCAGTGCTAATATATTATTTCACGATTTATTATTCCAAAACCGTTTGAACGCACAATGATTATTGCGGCAGCAGACTTTACAATGCGAGAAATAAAAAAAAAAAAATCAGCTCTGATAAAATCCTATGATCACGTAACGATAAAAAAAATTAAAGTTTGCTTGTTTGAAGTAGCTTACTATTTCAAACAAGCAAACAATTTTTTTTTTCAAAATTAGAGGTAGAATTAAAAAAAAAAAAAAAACGTTATTTCCAGCAAAAAAGAATTAAAAATATGAATGGAACAAGGTCCGGAATCACCAAAACATTACAAACTCCATTATAAACAGAAGGGAGTGGTAGAAAATAATGGCTTGGCTACAATTTGTTGAACTAAATTAATAGTATTTAAAAGTTAATAAGTATTGAGGTGATTTATCATTTTGACTATGAGTTAAAATCGCCCACTTTGGTTTTAAGATAATCACAGTTCAATATTTTAATTTTATTGAGACTGTACATATTTAAAACTAGATTATAAATAAATATGTCAAAGAGTTTCTGGTTTTATTTATTTACTGTGACCATTAAAGTCTTTTTTTCTACTTTTCTACGGGATGTATCAATTTCACTGTATATTATAAAATTTTCTAAATAAATATAGATGAATATTGTTATAAAATATTTTTATTTCTAGTTTAGCTGCCTCCGTGGGATAGAAGTTAGTTTTCTATGCCCCATCCCCCATACATATGCAACAAATGGGCATTACGTTGTTACACTGCTTAAACATTGCCAAATAGACGGGATGAATAAACCAGAGTCCTTTATTCCAAAAAAAGGAGGTGCTTATCTACTCAAGATACATCTTGAGCAATGGCGCTTTTTATTCCGTAGACAAAAAGGATTTGTTTTGTTTGGATCACACCCTGTGATTCCTTAACCCTTCGGAATTCCTCAAGTGTGACTAAAGCTTGGTTGTGTTCCAGTAGGGAGCCCTCCTCGTTCTTTCTTGTTGGGCGGGAGCCAACCGGATCCGAAAGCAGCTGCCGCGTAGCCTTAACTCATTATCAATCCGCTCATTTAATCTTCGACATCTACCTAAATTGAGGAGGCCCTCCCACATCCGGATCGATTTGGGAAAAATCTGGATATCAGAGTGTGATACGAGGATGAATATGAAATCAAAGTAAGTAACTATACGTCTATTTTATATACAGTCACGATCGAAGAAATTGCATCACCCAGAAAAAAATTTACTAAATATTATTTTATTTTCTAAATTCTGAAACGAAACGCACCATTAAGAGGTGAAATTGTTTGATTGCTTTCACTCCATGGTGCCTTTTTTTTTTTTTTTTTTTTTTTTCAAGAACTCTGACTACCGTTGATTGGTGTTACCTTATCCTCGTTAATATTAATCGGGAAAATACCTGTACTTAATGAACGCCACAATTTTGATGTTTTTTTTTAACGAGGATAGTTTTGATACAGATTATAATTACAGCTTATATTAGCTAAAACTCAACTGAGAAACATTGTTGAATTTTTCTTGTTACCTTGATAAGCGAAGAAAAGCAAATACATGCAATGGATTTAACGTTATCAACATAAGAATCAAAAGAAATAAGTGATGCAATTTCAACCATGGCGACTGTGTGCAACTTCACAATTTGACAACAAAAGATTTCTCTAAATGTTTTCGTTATGATCATAACACACGCTGATTCCTAAAGTAGGAATCCGTGGTCGTATTTTTGAGGGTAAATTGCAAAAATACATTTAAGGCTTACTCTTGGTTGAATAATATAGAGATATTGAAAACTCGTATTCTTTAAGTTTTTCTTTCAGGTTTATGGAAAAAATTTAATTTTTTTTTTATATATTTACTTTGGAGCTTATAACATTTTTCCTTAACTCAATTTTGTGTCGAATTTAACATCTATAATTTATAAAATATGCTACCATTCGTATGATAATTTAAAAAAAAAACCAAGCTAAAGCCACTAATGTAAAAATCGAATTTTTCTAATTACTTTTAAAGATTTAGTAGAAGTATGTTGCGAAATAAAATCTTTTACCAAAACATGAACCTCTATTACTTTGTTAGAAAGTATTGTTTGATGGTCAGCAGTTGTGCAGGTTTACAGAAATGGGATGTTGATATAGCATAATAAATGCTTAGGTATCTGCCACAACCAGATTTAACTCTGGGACCGGCAGCATAGTAGCACAGTTCCTTATTTACTCAGCTACCCGCCTACCGCGGGGTATATACGAATCATTCGCAGATGATTCGATTTAAGAGATATAAAGAATTTTTATTACTAAGATAAAAAAAAAAAATAGCGAAATAGAACCAAATAGGTAGTTCTTAATTTATTTCCATGAGAAGGAAAGTCATCTAAAATAAATATCTTTTTTTTTTCTTGAACATTTATGCACCAGTACAACTAATTTCCTGAATAGATTGAATCGCTGCTATCAGATTGTGTGCCGGGACAAAATCTTTACAACAATATACGAACCGAGTAATGGTAACAAGGAAACATGACACAACTCGTAATTGTTAACTACAGTCAATTGTTGACTTCATGGCCAGATGGAATTTCCAACCTCCATTATGTTATTATTGTCTGAGAAATTACTCCGGGCTCCGTGTAATTCATTATGTAGCCTTAACAAAGTAATTTGATATTCGAATTAAAGAACGTTTCTGAAGCGGATATCGGTGATGTGTGTGAAGCATTTGCTACTTGCAATCAGAAATAATCCCGATAAGGAAAACGAAAGCATTAAAAAATACATAAATTTATAGCTAGCTCTTAATATATATCAGCAATAACCCATAATGCATTTGAAATAATTTGTTAAAGGTATGTACGAACCATACCATACTTGTAGTAATTTACTTTAGCCCGTGTTTAGAAAGTAATTTAAATGCTAATAGAAAATCTTTAGGAAAGTTTCTGTTTGGAGGGAGGGAATAAAGTTTCGCCTGTAGCTAATCTACTGAATTAACTTGTGTAATCAGTTAATGGTTTGGTTGTAAAGATTTTAAATCACAGTTTCCATTAATTTTTTTCGTAACGTACGAATCAGTTTTTTTTTTTTTACATTTTCTTGGTAATAATCACGAATACTTAGAGAAAACATACACTCTGTATTAGTGTTGCCCAAATGTGAGACCGAGACGAGTGTTGGTCTTGCAAACTTAGTCTTGGTCATGGTCTTGGTCTTGCACAAGAGTCTCGCAGTTACTTATTAGCTTATTACTATAGAGTTAAAAGAAACCTAACTAAGCCCGAATTAAAAATTAGAGGAGTTAAATTCAAACCTATATTGGTTATACCAATTATTAACATATAGTAAACAAGATTGTCAAGTATTAGTAACTATTTTGCCTTAATATTCATTTTAAATAATCGATTTTTTTTTACCCGTCCTGGTCTTGGTTCTCACTTTGCAAGACCAAGAAATATTTAGAGCAACACTACTCTGTATTTTTTTTTCGCACCGTTTTAAATTAACCCTTCACTGATATACCTAATTATATAGTAAAAACTGAATATAAAAATTTAAATATTTTATTTAATGAAACTTATTCAACAAGAAATCGTTTAATTATTGACCAGGTCCAATGAAAGGTGAGTTTTCAATTCTTCGTATTTGCATGTGAATTTTTCCGTTTCTAATCCATAATTTCAGAAATTCACCTCCCTTTGCAATCCATACATGGACAATATTTTAAATGATATATTTTCAATACACAATTGAATTGATTAATATGAGTTATGTCCGGCCTAAGAGAATATTTCATGATTATTTTGTATTTGGTAATGTTTATTTAACAGTTAAAATAATTGGTAATTACGATACAAAGTATTTTATTAATACCAAACCCCTACTTGGTATTTTATTATAATAATTCAAGTACCGTTTGTCCACGTCACATTCGATCAAATAAATCGACCATTTGGTGTTGTTACCCTTCTGGAAATACTACATTACTAAAAATTGAGTCACGTGTTTAGAATCCCTTTATTCTATTGGCTGTTAGGTAAATATTTTTCGAAACGAACTTACACTACAAAAGTATATTTTTCAACTGATTCTTTTTTTTTTTTAACAATCCTCCATTTTATTTTTCAACAATTACAATATAAGTAAATACAATATAAACATACTTCGTGCTCAGAATCGAAAATTCCCACTCGCGCTTTACGTTTCAGACATCCATGATAAAATTTGGTTCGGTGGTCAAACTGTCTGTGTGTTTGTCTATAGTCAACTCGATATGACGACCCTATCACCTACCAGCTATTATCCGGTTTTCATGTAATATTCAGGGATTGTGCGGATTGGTGACTAGATGGTCTCATATCAATTCCATTTAATACTTTCGCTTAGGCACGTGGAACTTTATTTTTATCAGTCCTTTGATAAAAGGACCGTTAGGTCCTTCAGTGCCATAAGATAATATTTAGAAATGATTTTTTGTTATAGTGTTTGTATTCTGTCAGTAATTCAAGTGGTTTATATTCACATCTCGTAAGTGGGATACTAGTTAGAATATACATCATCTATCTGAAAACAAAATGATTCAAACGGGGCCATTATTTCAAGAACATTTTATCTGCTTCTTTGAACTCGTTATTCTTTCATTTTTAAATCCCAAATGGCAATGTGACTCATGTTTTTAGAAGACAAAAATCTGACCAAGTCATTATCTGTAACAGACTAATTTGACTACAAAGTGGCTGTTTTTTTATGATGCTTGACAATGGGCAATGGAATTCTAATGACTTTTATAATAGTGATCTCATAATTCCTAGAAAGAATTAATTTATATTTATATATCTATTTTTTTCCTTATTGACGATCAGTTTTTGTTCGTGTTCTTTCGAAAAAACTTTGGAAATTTCGAATAATACATCTAAATAAAATTTATGATTAACCTCCAGGAAATACGTTTAATCATTTGATACAATTAAGCTGAAGAAATATATATATATTTGTAAATATATTCATAATTATTGGTACAAATACAGACAAACGAAATTATCTAATCTTATAATTACTTTTGTATTTATTTAAATAAACGGTCATTAATTACCTCTGTGTAGCTAATAAATTGTAATAACGAATCATTAATTACAGTAAATATTTACAATTATTAGAGACCGAATATTAACCAGATTATATTTTCAATTTATTTTATTTTAACACTTATCAGAACATATATCAAAATCAGTTCATTAAGAAAAAAATCGATCCCATTAATATTATTCATATTTCTGTTATTCTATAATAAATGTATAAACAATTTCAACTTGCAACTAGACATTTTTTTAACTATTATAATAGATCTATACGTTTTATCTGGTGCTCGGTACTATTTTATTTTATTTTTGGTATTTGGTACTAATAAATATTAACTTTTTTTTATCGTGTTCTATTTAGCCCTGATACAGACCAGTGTATTATTTTTAAAATACCTTCAAATTAATAAAGAATAATTTTATTAGAAAGATACCAGAAATGTATCTTATTCTATTTAACCATAATGAATACCTACAACGTAAGTCGAAATGTAGTCAATAAAATGAACATTAATCTCATTGTGGGATGTTGAATGTTGACCTTAAACCTGACTTTTTTCCAATAGTTAATTAAAATTACTTAACTGTACTCCTCCTTGAGGAGTTCCAGGGACTGGAGGACAGACGAATGAAGGTGTTAGATCTCTCTGCCGCAAATGTTTCAGAGATTCAGAAACACCAGCAAATGTCAAAATAAATTGCTCCTTGTCACTCGCCGGCACAATAATATAAAGTATCGAGTATCCAAATTACTCGAAATTAGACGAAAAATTATAGATGCTTCCTCGAAGTTTATTGTCTGGATACGGAAGACTCAGCAAGGTTCGCAGACATCTTGGCCTTTAGTTCAAAAGGAAAAGAGGTCCTTATAGTTGATCGTAGAATTAGATATGAGACAAAGTATGAGCAGCAAGATCTCAAAATAGAAATTCAGAAAGAGGAAAATAACAAAATA